TGCCACGTTGCTCAGGCTATTCTTGAACTCCTGGGCTCAAGCAATTCTCCTGCCTCAGCCTCCCAAGTGCTGGGGATTAAACGTGAGCCACTGCACCTGGCCAAGCTCATTTAATCTTTACCACATCTCTAGAAAACTGGTACTATGATTTTTCCTCATTTTTCAAAAAGGGAAATAATACAATAAATTTCTCAAGGTCACACAGCTAGGAAGTGACAGAATCAGAATTTAAGCCCAAGCAATTTGTCTCCAGAGTCTGTGCTCCCAATGCAGGGATATTCCAACACAGAAGTGGAGTAAAGACTTTATTCCTACCTCACTGGTTTCCCTTTCCAGAACAAGCTAAGGTCTGAAAAGGGAAGCCAGAGGAAAATCAGATAAAATCTGGAGGGAAACGTGATGGCTTAGAGAAGAAAGGGTTTCAAAAAAGGAGATATATATCTACTCAATTAGAAGTTACCCTTCAAAACATGTCATATATTCAATTATCTCCACGTATGAATTATTAAGAGATCTCAGAGACATTTCCAAGTGAAAAGCTACATCATTAAAGAGTAAAAGTGAATTTTAAGTAGGCTTTCATTATCTATTAATAATCATAACCTCAGAATTATTGACTAACATGTTTCATTTGTGAAGCAAACAATAAACATCATTAAACATGAAAAAAAGAAGGAACTACAGATCAACTGTGTCAGACGCTGGTGAGAAGCTGAAGTTTCTCAGACAGAAAATTGACCACTATATTAGTATTGATAAACTGGATAGGATGATGTGAAGCAAGGGAGGTATATTTTTATTTTATTTTATTTTATTTTTAGGCTCCCTCAAATCATGGGATTCAAGGGACAATTAATAATAAAACATGTTTGCATACTGTTAGGAATAATTCCACAAGAAAAAAAACAGTAATTAAGAAGAAAGGGGGTAATTCCAGCATTGAGGTCCTTGAGTAAACAAATATGGATGTGATATGATCTAAGATGCCAACAAAGGGGATGGACATTAGAAGCAGAAACACTACTTCCAGTGTTACAAAAGGAAATATAAAATATGTGGAGGGTACAAATGCAAGTAGGTTGGCAGGTTTAGTGATGGGAAGACGAGGTAATTCTAAGTTAGTTAGATTTCCTTGGCCAAGGTTATCGGCTGAGAGTGAACAGGATGAAAGAATGGAGGTTTTAGAAGAAAGGCTGTCCTAGAGTGTAGGAGGGTGAATGTACTAGGGAAGTGGAACAGCATCATCTAGCAACATTGGATTCCATTTGGGATTTACAGGAGAAAACTTTAGGGAAGTCCAGTCATCATGGTTGTATGAATTTTCTCTAATAACATTAGTTTCTCAGGTATAGTCACAGCCTAGGAGGATAATCGGGTTTTACAAGGGGTGGGTTTTTTCAGATGTGTTCAATGGAAAGAAAGAAAAACAAGGAAGTTCAGGTTTTCTGCAAGAATGTGGCTCAAGTGCCAGACCATGGGAACTAGCTTAGCAAAAAGATAAATAATATGAAAGTGAGAGAAATTTAAAAATACAATCAGTAGGGTCAGTGGATTCAACGTCCCTATAGGGTCAAAGAGCAGTTCCAAGAGAACAGGTAGAAGTGAGATCGAGGCTCAAAATGTGATCACCAGACGGCAGGATAGTACTTGCTGTCCAGAGATGTCAAAGGCTATTGGTATTGACTACTAACAATTTCTATGGTGTGGCTGTAAGAATGGCAATGGCTGGTTGCAGTGGAGTGAAGGAAATATTTGGAGTAGAGAAGTTCAAGAAATTGAGAGACCAGGGTATTGGGTGGATAATCAACAAGGACACCAAATCAATAGGACTGTAGGAATAATGAAGAAAACAAATACAATAAACCAGATGATAAAGTCATTAAAGAATGATGAGAGACAGCAGGAGATTCTGAAAGATGACAACTATTAGGAGAGAGATTAGGTAGTAAAGTCTGAAGACACGAGCTCAACAGACTTAGAGTTTTCAAAGTCAAAAGAAGGGCAGATAGTTTGGAAGGATCAATAGGAAGAAAAAAAGTACTCTATCTACAGGCAAATGAGGGATTGAAGTGTTATCAGAAAGGAGTCCTGATCCAGACCCCAAGAGAGGGTTCTTGGGCCAGGTGCAATGGCTCACGTCTCTGATCCCAGCACTTTGGGAGGCCGATGCAGGCAGATAACGAGGTCAGGAGATAGAGACCATCCTGGCCAACATGGTGAAACCCTGTCTCTACTAAAAATACAAAAATTAGCTGAGTGTGGTGGCACGCACCTGTAATCCCAGATACTTGGGAGGCTGAGGCAGGAGAATCGCTTGAAGCCGGGATTTGGAGATTCCAGTCAGCTGAGATCTCACCTCTGTGCTCCAGCCTGGCAACAGAGTGAGGCTCCATTTCAAAAAAAAAAAAAAAACAGAGAGAGAGAGAGGGTTCTTGGACATTTTGCAAGAAGAAATTCAGGGTGAGTCCATAGAATAAAGTGAAAGCAAGTTAATGAGAGAAGTAAAGAAACAAAAGAATGGCTGCTCCATAGACAGAGGAGCTCCAAGGTCTACTGGTTGGCTCTTTTTATGGTTACTTCTTGATTATATGCTAAACGAGGGGTAGATTATTCATGTGTTTTCTGGGAAAGGGGCAGACAATTCCCATAATAATTCCAAAAAGGGTTCCTCCTCTTTTTAGACTATGTAAGATAACTTCTAGCTGTTGCCATGGCATTTATAAACTGTCATGGCACTGGTGGGAGTGTCTTTTAGTGGGCTAATGTATTAAATTAGCATATAATGGGCAGTGAGGATGGCGTGAGGTCACTTTCATTGCCATCTTGGTTTTGGTGGGTTTTGGCAGGCTTCTGTATGGTGACCTGTTTTATCTGCAAGCTCTTTATGTCCTGGATTTTGTGATACCAGTCCTGCCAACCTCTTATCTCATCCTGTGACTATGAATGCCTAGCCTCCTGGGAATGTGGTCCAGTGGGTCTCAACCTCATTTTATCCAGCCCCTGCTCATGATGGAGTCACTCTGGCTCAAACACCTCTGTCAGAAAGATAAGACGTCTTCCATTTGGGAGGAAAGTGCTTCTAGGAAAGAAGTTTCCACATGAAACAGCCATGTATCATTTAGAGGAAGAAGGGGAAGCAAATGTTCAGGGAGCTGTCTTGGGATAGGAAAAGTTTGGTAATGGAAAACCAGGACTTCTAGAGGGCAGTGGAAGAGTTTGAGATTGCAGAGACGCATAAACACAGATTGGGGAACACAAAAAGTAGTGTTGAGACGAGGGATGTGATAATGATCTGGGAGGTGTGGACTTCTAGCGCTGAGATTACTCGATGTGGGGTGTGTTAGGGGCTGTCCTGGAAGGCTAGAGGAAGTTGAGTAACCAGTGTTATCCAGAGTGTTTAGCTAGGAGGTGTGGGTCATTGTTTAGTCCTATATCTCACAGAGGTGTTTGGGCCTGAAGAATGGAAGACAGTCTCCTAGAAAAACAGCTCATCATAAGTTGTAAGCTGTTCAGTGAGCAGTGCCAGCTGGGGAGGAGTTCTCTCTTTAGAAGCCCAACTTGCTGTTGGGACCTCCAGACCCTGATCTGTCCTTTCATTGCAGTACTGTCAAAGCCTGAGCACCAGTGGGGCCACTGGTCCCTTCCCCAGGTGAGAGGTGCAGACAGAAGGGCCACAGTGGGTCTCAGGGCAGAAAGTTTTGTGGTAACTGGAAATGACACCACATGAGGAGCTGGGGCCATTAGTCTCTCCCTCTGGAAAGAGAAAAGGAGTTTAATTGTTTTTTGTTTTTGTCATCTGGAAGTACAGTCTTACCTTTCCTCCATTTTTCAAATTTCACTACCCAGAATTTTGCCTCTTTCAGTCCCTGAAAACTCCTCTTCTTCTTTGATCACTATTTCTTATTTCTTTTTTTTTTTTTTTAATTGTACTTTAGGTTCTGGGTTACATGTGCAGATCATGCAGGATTGTTGCAAAGGTACACACATAGCAATGTGGTTTGCTGCCTCCATATTTCAACAAATGAAAGAAGCTAGGTATGATTGAACTGCCTTCATGCAATACTTCAAACAAACTCCAGTGATATTTGAGACTTCAGACAATCACTGCTCCCTTATCATCCTTTGCTGCCATACCATCAAAACAAAACAAAGTAGACACAGACACAACTCATAGATGATTGATTGAGATAAGACACACAGATGGATAGACAAATAGTAAATAAATGAGAGAAGAGAAAAGGAAGAGAGGGGAGGAGAGTGGAAAGAAGGGAAGAGGGCAGATTTGGGTATCCCTTTAAAGGCTGGTAAAATGTCTAGATATTCTTTGGAATGATTCAATTATATGATCTTATGAAAAGGAAAATCTTATTTAGAAACATAATCAGCAAAACTAAAGCTAATTTCCCAATTCCCCAACTTCTACATCCAAAAAATTATTATAGCTCCCAAACAAATGTAGGTTTGAATGAGGAAAGGCCTATGTCTTCCTAAGCTCTCAATCAGAACTGATCTTTAAAAACTCAAGCTAAAAGAATCTGTTTGGAGGCAAAAATCAGAGCTCTAGTCCAAAGACCTCTTTAACTATAAGCTAAATTCTGATCCTGTCTGGAAAATGAGGCTCTTACATTAGGGTTAATCTCATAACAATGAGGAGAAATTGGCATTGTCTCTCATCGTAAGGCTCCGTGGGTGGATTATGGCAGCTCAGGAAGGGAGTCAGGATCAGAGTCTCAAACACAACTACCTAAGGAGCCCTCACTTAGAATTCCCATTGTAAGTTTACCCCCTGGGTGTCCCATAAGGCTTCCTCTACTTTCCCTTTAAATAAGCACTGTGGTTTTGTTCTTTGTTTGTTCTAGAGACTCAGCTGAAAAAGTAAACATAGACTAGACCATAGGTTCTCAAATTTTGATGTACTATGAATTCTCCAGTGTGGAGAATCATCATAACTGTAAGCTCCCAAGATCCTGCCCTCTGCAGTGATGAGTTCAAAACCTTACCTCACTTTATTGTCATATGCGACCTCTAGGAGGAAGTTTTCATTCCCATTTTACACATGAAGAAACTGAAGTAAAGGTTACATCGCTTGACCAAGTCATTTCATGAATATGCAGTAAGGCTGGTCTTATGTGCAAGGCATCCAATGCCAGATCCTATGTGGAATCGACTCTGAGAGTACCACTCTGTTCACTATTAACCATAGGAGGGTTCTGAAATTCTGAAGAAAATGAGATATTTTAAGGAAACTGTTTCCAAATCTAAATTGTATTCTTATTAAACACCACACATACACACACACACACACACACACACACACACACACACACACACAC